TTATAAATACATTTAGTGCCATTTTTTTTATCAATTTAATTTATCCTTGCTAAACACAAGTAAAAAAAAAATCCTACTGACACCAAACTTTTTAACATTTAGTTTTAGATAGTTTTAAGTGCACTCATTTATTTCTTTTTTAAGACTAAAAGTTGTACAAAATTGTACTTTAGGATTGTTTTTTATTATTAAAAATCTATATAATTGAAACTTTTTTATAGCAGAGCTGAATTTTCAGCAATTACTCCAATCTTCAGTGGCACATAATCCTTCAGAAATCACCACATGCTGATTTGCTGCTCAAAAAAAAAAAAAAACATGGTAAAGAGTTGTGCTTAATATTTTTGTGGAAACCATGATACATATTTTCTTTCATGATTCTTTGATCAAAAGAGAGTTTAAAAGAACAGCATTTATTTCAGATAGAAATCTTTTGTAACGTTATAAATACATTTAGTGCCATTTTTTGCTTGCTAAACACAAGTAAAAAAAAAATCCTATTGACACCAAACTTTTTAACATTTAGTTTTAGATAGTTTTAAGTGCACTCATTTATTTCTTTTTTAAGACTAAAAGTTGTACAAAATTGTACTTTAGGATTGTTTTTTATTATTAAAAATCTATATAATTGAAACTTTTTTATACCTTGAAGAGATGGAGCGATCTCTTGGCCATGCAGAGATTACAGTAGAGTGTAAAGTCCACAAGCCCAGCTCTTCTCCTTATGGTAAGTCATGTTTGTGATTATTGCTGACAGGTAGGTAGGCCATAAAAAAAAAACTAATATCTCATTTCATATCTTTCTACTGCTACATTTATCTCTAGTGTTTTCTTCCTGCTAAATGTCTTCTCTTCATCTTACACTGATACTTTAGCAACAGTATATTCTGCCAGACTTGACTTTGAGTAATCGTTTCCCATTTATCAAATAAGGACTAATAATCGCATTCTCTCCTCTTGTTGATTGTGGTTTCCTTTAGAGAGTGGATGTTGTTTTACTTTGGTCCCATGCAGTGTTGTCATTGGATTTTAGGAGAAACATTTAATCATCATATTTCTCTAAAACACATAAACAGTCAGAGTAATGAGATATCATGAGTCTATTGTATCGTCAAATACGTTCATGAAGCAATACCACATGCCTTGTCAATATATGTCGCATCCAATTCTGTACGTCTGGGTGAAAAAGTGACAAAGTTCACTAGACCTCTGTGTTCTAAAACTGTGATAAATGCTTATTTGCTTTAATTCCAAGTTAATAATATTTTATTTTTGCATTTGAATTTTGCACAGAATTCTCATTTCCTGCGTTCTTGGGACAGAACATGATTTTGATCACATTCCAGCCATCTCCTCCTGTTGTTAAGTCAACAGTATATTTTTGGTGGCAGAGAGCCTGACCAGTCTTGCAGCACACACACACACACAGAGAGAGAGAGAGAGAGAGAGAGAGAAACGCATAAATCACAACTGCACAGACTTGCAAAAATCCCTAAATAAATTGAAATCAGAAAATGTCCCCTTATATTGATGCATATCAGTCCTAAGTAATCTGGCAAGGCATATGTTTTCAAAGTGGTAAAGAGGCAATTTTGAGGTTTCCTGAACTTTCTAAGAGCAAACAGTAAATTTGCAGGACAGCATAACTTGATGGGCTACACACTTTCGTGCTGTCTACAATTTTGTGTTTTTCCAGTCTGAAAAATGCCAAAACTGCTGTTGTTACCAAATAACAGATGCACAAAATTCATTTCATATGAAAATAAAACTAATTTACAGTATTAACTGGCACCACCATCTGGTTTATTACTGGACATCATTTCATTAAAATTGTCAAATATAGTTTTTGAAATAAAAAGTTAATAAAACACTCCAAACCATGCAGTTTACTAGAAATGCTTTATTCACGTGAACAATGAATAAAAATTATAAATGGAATAAAATGTAATGAAATTAAAATGTCATTACATTTTCATATTTAATCCATTAGATTTGCATTATAAATATATAATTTTATAATTTGATTTATACTAAAGTATGACTTCTCAGGAAGGAAGTGAGCATTCCCTTTCAAAGTAATAATGGTGCTTTGTCATGAAAATGTCCTCCGACTACAAGACAGTAACACTAGCCGTACATGTCAACACCAGTCTAATATTACAAAAAGAAATGCCAGATTTCATAAACAATATGCCAAGAGAATGGAAACAACCTTAGGAATGCACTTCACACACCAAAGTCAATAGTTCCATGGCCTGTGAAGTGTTGCAATATGTTTTTCTCACATGTTTCTCCATCTGAATGTGCCTGAGGATCCTACTGAGAGTTTAGTGTGATCCAAAGATCATTCCAGGTGGTCAGATTAAAAAAAAAAAAAAAAGGAATCTGTTTTTGTTCTGTTTCCTTAGCAACAGCGACGTTCTTGTTGTCCTTAGACACATCTTCCTAGCAAGTATATACAGTGAGGTCTAAAAGTCTGAGTTCACAATGAAAATCTGGGATTGATATTCAGATTTAAACCTTCACCCTTTAAAGTTTTTGATCTTGTGATTAACTTTAATGTACTGCATAGTAGGAATGGTTTAGAATGGTTAAATCTCTTATGAAAGGTGCCTGTGTGCATTTATTTAGGGAGCTCTATTTTTAGCCCCTTTCTGCAATGTTAGTAACAAGGCACAGTGAGATTATGCACTTTATTTTTAACACCTCTATAAAAAGACACAATAAACCAAGACATTTTAATGTTTTATTTATATCACGGATCAAACCCTCTTTTTTCTTTCCAGTTCCCTCCTGTGAGACAGACGTTTCTGGGCCAAGGGATGGTGGCATCTGCTCAAGACATTTTTGGCCTGGATGAAAAACAAAAGAGGAGATTCCCATTCGTCGACATGCCTCGGATTTTCATTTACACAATCTAGAGTGAGTATCAAGTAAATGCTCTTAGTTCGGCATGCTTTCCGATTCTATTTTGATTCAGGAAAAAATTCTTCTGTGTATGAAATCAAACGTGCTCATGTGAAAATGTTACTGTGGGGTCATTTATAATCTCCTTTGATATAGGAAAAAAAATAATTTTGTAAATGAAATAAAGCAGCTTTGCTTCCCACGTTTTGCATGTTTGTTCAAATTTGACCTTATATTATCTGACATTCCCAAAGGCGTTATGCTGTCTAATCAAATAAGCTGTGATTAGTGTATACACTTCCTCTGTTTTTTCCTGGATGCATCATCCCTGAATCTCTGAACGTGTGTGCGAATGCGTGCAAGCCTTGGGCAGTAAGCTTTTTTGATTATGTCAGCCCATGTGGGCCTGTAATGCAAATTGTTTTACTGTTTAGATGCAAGGCGAAGTTCTTTTGCTGTGATTATGTAGCATGGTTACAGTGTTCAGTCAGAGACAGGAGCAGATGGTATTGTCCTGTATCCAATGTGATCAGATTAGCTATCTCTGAGTTTCAGCTATTGAAAGTGACAAATGCTCCCTTTTGGAGAGAGTGCAAGTGTGTTTTGTTCAAGAATATCTTATTTTCAAGTCAAGTCAAGGCCGTTAGGTAAGGTATGGTTTCCTACAGTCTTACACGATGCATTACACCAGATTTGTGTTTTGAAATGTTCATTTAGAGCTAACTTTAACATGCATATGCTGCATGCACTTAGCTTTGTTTTTTATTAGGAATGCTCATGGTTAAAACATGACTACTATCCAGTCCACGTTTTGGTCGAAGCCCATGAGCGTCCAAACATCAGCAGCGCAATTAATACATTTTTAAGAGTCTTTGCCTTTCCTGTGAATCATGCAGTCTGTTTCATGCATGTATGACTCAGGCTGAGCCACCGCAATGATTGCCAGAGAAAGATATTTTAGCAACAAACAGACCTAGGGAAATGCCAGCTCACCGTAAACCTGTCAGGATTTAATTTCAGATGGGGTATTAAATGTTTATTAGGTTAAGATAAAATATATTTTGATTTATTTATACTTGGACTTGGATTTACATCAGACATCAGTCCATCCAATATAATATGCACACCACCACCTGCATCATATATATATACTGTATATATATATATATATATATATATATATATACTGTCCTCCATCCACATGAAATTGTGAATACACTCATGGGTCACCTTCATCATATATTGCACAACCTCTTGGACCTTTATTCAATATCTGTCTTCGTTTTCGAGATTTTAATGGTTGAATGAATTATCGAACCCGTTCAACCTTGGGGAAGTCTGAATTTTCTTCCAGAAAGTACAGTAGGAGCTGAAACTCACCATGGAAAACATGGATATTGAATCTTCAGTGCAAAGCAATGCCACTATATTAATGTAAACTTTTAAATACGTTATCAGAACGTTGGCTAATGTTCTGGCTAGATTCTCTCAATGTTATGAACATTAGAATAGAACATTTGTTCAATGTTATCTCTTAAATAACATTTTCAAAATGTAAGTATAAAAATGCTATTTATATTTCATTCATGGAACGTTGAATTTAGATTTTTTTTTTACTACTTATTTCAGAATGTTCAATGAACATTTAAAACGTTCCCATAATGTTTGCAAATTTATTAAATGGAAGGTTCCCTTAATGTTTTCCCTACCATTTGCATAACCAAGAAAAAATATTTTTAAACATTTAAAAAGACTGGACATTTTGAACACTAAGAGAACACTAAGAAGTAATGTTTTAATTCGGAAATAAACTTAAAGGAGACGCTAGCAAAACATTCTTAGAATATATTTTTGTTAGCTGGGTCCTGTAAACTTAAACATTAATGTATATCTTGCATCTATATTGTAAAAATGTAAACCTTCAGAGGCTCTATCTAATAATTATATTTAATATTTATATTATATTTATTAATATTATATTATATTATATTTTATATTATATTATGTAGTAATATACTCCTCTGGCGGTCCTGCTCACCCTCTCTCTCAGAGTCTGTACGAAGATCCAGCGTATCTACAGACATGAAGTGAAGCACAGCTACTTAATGTACCAGTCACTCCTCCTTCATCAGTGGGACGCTGCTCCACCCTCTCCAGCGCGTTCATCTCTCCGGCCGTTACCGTCCCACGAGTGGAGAGGATTTCAGCACCGGGACAGATCCACCATACATCCACCACCGTCACGCATCATGGCGACAGAGGTAAGAATCATTAACGCATTCATTTGAGCTTCGTGCGAGATGAAGAGACGGCGGAGAGCGGGTCCGTTTCATTCGCGTGCTTTGGATGAAGTTATGTTGACACCTGCTGTGGGGATGAAACACGGTGTTTCCTGTAAACGCTTTAGATGAGATGCGTTCAAAGAAGCCAATTAAGAAAGGGAGACGCTGTTTCCTTTAAAGGCTGATTTCGTCGACATGACACGGAGTTTCCCATTGAAATCAGCTAAAAGTGAATATTTTGTGGTCAAAGTAGAGAATCTACAGAGGAATGTGTGAATGAAACAGACAGACTGACGAATTATTCAGCACCCTGGACAGAGACACAAATAGACTGAATAAAAAAGCAACAGATGCTGAAGTAAAAGTATTTTTACACGGCTCTCTGGAATATTTGATTCTGATTGGTCAGTTGATCGTGGAAACCCATGTTTGCCATGCTCCTGTCTCTTCAGACAAGTAAAAAAAAACATAAATAAATGAATCTAATATACCGTACTATTTATTTATAAATATAAAAATAAGCTCAAATAAATATTTTGTCAATTAATTTATTTGGTAGCTATGTAAAAAGCGGGACAAACACTGATATGTTGATCAGTTTATTTTGCAGTTATGACTTGCGAAGTGTATTATGCTTTCCATATAGACTATAATGCAACAACCAGTGTCTTTCCTTCACTATTAGTTATTGACTCTAAATTCTGATTGGTTGAGCCACTTTCACTGTCAAGACACACGCAACAAAATCGAATACTTCCCTACTATGTGGAAAAAGAGTAGTATGTCCGAATTCATAAAGTGGTACTCACTGCAGAGTCAAATGACTTGCAGCTCTCCACCTCTCCGGATGTCTAATGGGGTGGAGGGATAGAGTTGTGGGTAGGGTTGGGGTGTGGTTGGAGATTATAGCGCCACTCATTACAAGTGGTACTCACTGCAGAGTCAAATGACTTCCAGCTCCACCTCTCCGGATGTCTAATGGGGTGGAGGGATAGAGTTGTGGGTAGGGTTGGGGTGTGGTTGGAGATTATAGCGCCACTCATTAGGCACAAATTACATTCGCTCCTCCTTGCTGGACGTCTAGCGAGGGGGAGCTAGACGTAAGCTCCACCCATTTGCTCTGCAGTGAGCAGCTTCTCGAATCCTTAGTATTTAAAAAAAAAAAAAAACAGAAGATGAAAAGTACCCAGGTGACCTACTACTTCTGGCAGGATTCTGAAGTTTGATGGACATTTTGCCCTACCATAAGGCCATGGGAGAGGATGTATGAATGGCAGTGAAGCGAAGAAACTGACACTGGTTGGTCACGTAACCAGAACCACACTGCAGATGTAGTACATCTGGATTTCATTCACACTACCCAAATTCATACTATATAGTAAGTAAGTTCAAATTCAAATGTAGTACCTCAGACAGTATGAGATTTCAGAACGCAGCTACGATCTATATTTGAAATGAACATAACAAATATGACAACATTCCGTTTTTTTTTTTTTTTAATTAAGTATGTCATCTGTGTATTTGAAGTACATTTTTCACAAATTGGGACGCATCTAAAGTTAACAATTTTCTTTAATCTGTTTACCAACTGAAGTTCATAACTCATAACATAAGATGCATGGAATATAATATAATTACGCATAATATAATTTTTAATACGTGGTAACAGAGTTTTAATACCTGTAAAAAATTGGTAGATGAAACTGACGGCATCTGACCAATCAGAACAGATATTCAAATAACCCAACATCACGACTACCATAGGTAACATTAAAGTCAATCAGCTTTTAGAATCACTTCGATGCGTCATCAAGCTTTCCTGTAGACAACAGGGGAAGATAAACTTTTAGGCAAAATAACCATGAAATCCAAATTAATGAAAGATCTCCATCTACACCGTGCAGGTGAGTAGATTTTAGTTGCAATGGGGCTCTCCATATATATATATAAATGTGTTTTAGTTTTTTTTAATGGTCATAGTCTTTAGATCATCTGGTGCGAGAATTGTTTCATTGATATAACCTACTGTATTGACATATTGTGTTGGTGATTGGAGAGATTATGACAAATCAATCATTCATTATCAATACTATTTTAAGATAACATCATAGTTGTTAGTAAGTAAATTAATATAAATCATGCTGCAATATTTTGTTGGTTTTAATCAATATTTATTTACATATTAGCCTAAAAAAATCCCTCTCTGCCTTCCATTGTTAGTACCCACATAGCAACGCCCTGGCAACCATGTGCAATACTCTAGAGTAGTATGCAAGGGAATGCAAGCATGGATGGGCATTTTTAATAAGCACTATATCCACATCTCTTTTCTCTCATGGCATATCTTCCAAATACCATTTAATTTGCTCTATTTAAGAATAATTTCTGTATGGCTGCCCTTTATCCTTAGTGCATCATCAACTCCTATCCAAACAGCATAATAAATGGATTGCATCTGTATAGATTGCATGCACTTTCTGTTTACTCAGTCATCTTGTTTACAGATTTATTCAAAAGGTAGGCAAGCAAATTCCTCCAGTGAGAATACACAAAGAGATTCCACTGTTTGTAATGTATTCAGGGAAACAATTGTATCCCTCAGCAACCTAGATTTTAATTTTACAAGGATATTGAAACTGATTGTTGACTCTCACCTAGCCAACATTCGCTGTCACAAGAAGAGTTGTCATGCACTTGCTCTGGGCATCTTGTGGTCTTGTTTTCCTACATCCAGCTCGTTTTCATTAAAAAATATTGTAATGAGTCATCGGAATGTTCCAGGGATGCTCAGAGAGTCTTTCCTACGCTTCACTGGTCAGTTTAGCGTTCAGTGCCATAAACTCTGAGGCTTCTTTAGATGGCTCTCTAGTTTCTTCTTTGACATGCACCTCAAAGTGAAGTTAATCCTTAAAATAACTACCTCTGAAAATATCAGGTTGTTTTATGTTCTGGGGCTACTGTGACAACTGATGTGTGATGTGTTTCTGTTTTTATGCAGAGCTGCTGCATTAGACAGTCTTTGGAGTATTGCTTGCTATTTATCTGTCTACTGTAGATGAGACTCCAAAGTCAACAGTGTTTTTACCCTTGTGCAGGGGCACATAACATGGCTATTAAAGACTCCCACATTGATTTGTTGTGTTTTAAGGGCCTGGTAGCTGCTCTCAAACACACACATGTTGGGTTTCCATGTTTTATGGGGACATTTCATAGGCGTAATGGTTATTATACTGTAGAAATTGTATTTTCTGTCCCCTTACCTTAAATCTACCCTAAAACCTACCCCTCACACAAAAATTTCTGCTATTTTAGATTAAAAAACAAAACTTTCTGTGTTATAAGCTGTCTTCCTCATTGGGTCCACAAATGTCCCCACAATGTCAAAATGTACTATCCTTGTATAATATAGGGAATACCAGGTACACACACACACACACACAGAAAAAGAGAGAGATACACACAGAGACACACACGTTTACTTAGCTACTTAAATAGGGAAATTATAGATTGTAGTAGTTTTATATAAAGCCAACAGCAAAATCCCCAGAGTTAAATCAACTCTGCTCAGAGTACATATTGTCCCAATCTACAGAGTGTTAAAGTAACACTGAAGCCGAGTTAAACTTAATGGGATAATTAAGCAATTATTTAATTGATGAGTGAGCATTATTAAAGAAAACCCGCTGTTAACAATGTTGAAGATGAACAACTACTGCTCAGGCTTTTAGACATGAAAACGTATCACATAATCCTCAACAGTGGTAACTGCTTCAGTGTTACTTTAACACTCTGTAGATTGGGACAATATGTACTCTGAGCAGAGTTGATTTAACTCTGGGGATTTTGGACTAACCCTAAACCTAGCTTTAAAGATTTTTATTTATTTTTTTTTTTGTCTTAAAAATGTATTTTGTCCCCAGTTGTAGTAGTTATTATTAGTAGTATTATTAGTATTATTTAATGTAATATTTTGCTTATTTACTTCAACTAACCCTATTCTTTACAAGAAAACGTTTTGCATTTAAATAATTCAGAAAATGTGAAACAAAACACTATTCTAATTATCATTATTAGAATAAAAAAGAAAAATATAATAAAAAGCCATATAATAATAATAATAATTTGCTTATTTGCCAGACTATCCCTATTCTTTACAAAATATGTTTTGCATTAATATAATTCAGAAAAGCGAGACAAAACACTATTGTATTATTATTATTAGTAGTAGTAGTAGTAGTAGTAGTAGTATTTCATTGCGTTTTTAGAATACAAACATTTTTAAAAATGTATTTCTGAGTTGTTTTAATCCAATAGAATCCATACAGTACTAGTAGTAGTAGTAGTTAATAATAGTTAATAACATTAATAGTTTTGCTAATTGTGCTTAATTGTGAGACTAACCCTGTTCTTTACAAGTATACTTTTTGTACTTTTATAATATATAAGCATTTTTTTGTTTTTTGCATTTATGTAATTCACAAAAAGTGAAACAAAACGCACATAAAAAAAACTTTAAATTATTGTTATTATTATTTTAGAGTGTTAAAAGGATGGTTTTATTAAGATTTAGCAAACGTCCTGGGACTGTTTTATCCCCTGAGTATAGCCAGTAAATCCAACACAGCTGTCTCCTGTTACATACTTGCACCCTGTGCCAAATCTAATTAATTATATACAACACAACACAATTCTTGATTTGTGTTACTTGTTAACTGTGATCTCCAGAATATCTTGAGTTCATTAGAAGTGAATAAAAAAGACAGAGCAAGATTGTAAAGCAACATTTCAATAATGCAGTCATATTCCTTGTATTGAACTGAACTGACCTAACCAGAAAATGTATGCTGATCTTAAACACGTTTACAGTTATAAGACAAGCTGAATGTTTAATGAAAAGATATTTGCATCTAGAAAGAAGGGAGTGAGAGAGGGTGGACAAGCGAAGCAATGAACTAGCACGACAGAAAGAAGTTCTACTG